GATTTGCATATGTTGAACTATCGCTGCACTCCTGGAATGAATCCCAGTTGTTCATGGTGAATAATCTTCTTGATTATTTGCTGCATTCTAGTTGGGAGTATTTTATGAGAATTTTTGCATCAACATTCATTAGGGAAATTGGCCTATCGTTCTTTTTGATTGGGTCTGGTTTTTGTATCAGTATAATACTTGCCCGCAGAAATTAGTTAGAGAGATTGCTTTCCTTTCAATTTCATTGAAGAGCTTGAGGAGTATTGCAGTTAAATGTTGCCTAAATTTTTTGTAGAATTCAGCAGTGAATCGATCAGGACCTGCGCTTTTCTTTGTTGGTAAAGTTTTAATTACATTTTCAATTTCATTAATGGATATTAGGTTATTGAAAATTTTTATATTGATTCAGCTTTGGTAATTCATACATTTCTAGGAATCTATTCCTTTCTTCTGTGTTTTTCATACTTTATGAATAAACATTTTTGAAGTACATATTGATGATCATCTTAATTTACTCAGAATTTGAATTGCTTTTCATCCCTTTTACTAATTGCACGAATTTAAGTATTTTCTTTTCTTTTATTGATAAAGTTGGCTAGTGGTCTATCAGTTCTGTTTATTATTTCAAAGAACCAACTCTTTGATTCATTAATTCTTTATGTCATTTTCTTGGTTTCAATTGTGTTAGCTTCTGCTCTGATTTTTATAATTTCCTCCCTTCTATGAGCTTTGGGCTTGACCTGCTCTCCTTTTTCAGACAGTGTGAGGTGCAGCATTAAGTTGTTAATTTATGCTTGTTCTGTTTTCCTGATGTGATGATTCTTTGCTATGTATTTCCCTCTAGGACTTGCTTTCATAGAGTTCCACAGGTTTTGGTATGTTGTATCTACAATTTCATTGAATTGTAGATAATGTTTAATTTCTTCTTTAATTTCCTCTGTAACCTTTGACCCATTTAGATTTTAATTTAGTACATGGTGATAGACATGGGTCTAGCTTTAGTTTTCGGCAAATGGAGAGCCAGTTTTTCTAGCACCATTTGTTAAAGAGACTGTCGTTCTTCCAGTGAACCTGCTTGGCTCCTTTATCAAAGATAATGTGGCTGAGTGTGTTTGTAGTTGTGGTTGTATCTTCTAATCTATTCCATTGATCTTCGGTTCTGTTTTGATTCCAATACCATGTTGATTTTACTACTGTTGCTTTGTAGTATAACTTCAAGTCAGAGATTGTGATGCCTCCTGCTTTGTCTTTGTTGCTTAGAATTGCCTTTGTGATTCTAGGTCTCTTCTGGTTCCAGATGAAAGTTAGGAGTGATTTCTCTAGATCTATAAGGTATGTTGATGGTATTTCTATTGGGATTGCCTTGAATCTGTATAACAGTTTTGGGAGAATGGCCATTTTCACAATGTTTATTCTTCCTATCCATGAACAAGGGATGTCTTTCCATTTTCTGAGATCATCTTCAATTTCTTTTTTCAGTGTATTATACTTTTCACTGTGTAAGTCTTTCACTTCTTTCATAAGAGTAATTCCTAAATATTTCATTTTTTTGCTTGCTAATGTGAATAGTCCAGTTTCTCTTATTTCCCTCTCTGTGATTTTGTTGTTCGTGTATAGGAATGCTATTGATTTCTGAGTATTGATTTTGTATCAAAATTACTGAATTTATTTATTGTATCTAAGAGTCTTTCAATGGAGTTTAGGGGGTCTTCTATGTAGAGTATCATGTCATCTGCAAAGAATGATAATTTAACTTCTTCTTTTCCTATCTTTACCCCTTTTATTTCTCTCTCTTGCCTAATTGCTCTGGCTAGTACTTCCAGTACTATATTAAATAGGAGTGGTGATAAAGGACATCCTTGTCTTGTGCCTGATTTTAAAGTAAAGGCTTTCAATTTTTGGCCATTTAGTATGATACTGGCTGTTGTTTTGTCATAGACGGCCTTTATTATATTGAGGTAAAGACTATCTATTCCAATTTTCTGTAAAGTTCTTATCATGAATAAATGTTGGACCTTATCGAAGGCTTTTCCTGCATCTATAGAAATGATCATGTGATTCTTACTTTTGGCTTTATTGATATGGTGGATTACATTTATTGATTTGCGTATGTTGAACCATCCTTGCATTCCTGGGATGAATCCCACTTGGTCATGGTGTATAAACTTCTTGATGATTTGCTGGATCCTATTTGCCAATATTTTATTGAGGATTTTTACATCTGTGTTCACTAGAGAGATCGGTCTATAGTTCTCTTTTTTAGTTGGGTCTTTCTCAGGTTTTGGTAGTAGAGTAATATTTGCTTCCAGGAATGACTTAGGAAGGATTGCTTCCCTTTCAATTTCATTGAATAGTTTGAGGAGTGTCGGCATTAGGTCTTCTTTGTATTTCTTGTAGAATTCTGCAGTGAATCCATCTGGGCCTGGGCTCTTCTTTGTAGGTAAGGACTTAATTACATTTTTAATTTCATTAACAGAGATTGGGTTATTCAACAGTTTTACATCCTTTTGATCTAGCTTTGGTACTTCATATGTTTCTAAGAATCTGTCTATTTCTTCTGTGTTATTAAACTTTTGGGAATAGAGGTTTTTGAAATAGGTGTTGATGATCTTCTGTATTTCTATTGGGTCTGTAGTGATTTCACCTTTTTCATTTCTTATTGCATGAATTTGAGCTTTTTCTTCCCTTTTTAAAATAAGGTTGGCTAGGGGCTCATCGATTTTATTTATTCTTTCAAAGAACCAGCTCTTTGATTCGTTGATTCTTTGGATTGTTTTCTTAGTCTCTATTGCATTGATTTCTGCTCTGATTTTTATAATTTCCTCTCTTCTTTTGGCTTTGGGCTTGACTTGCTCTTCTTTTTCTAGCTGTTTGAGGTGTAGCATCAAGTTATTTATTTGTATTCATTCTGTTTTCCTGATGTGGGAACTCAGTGCAATAAATTTTCCTCTGAGGATGGCTTTCATTGCATCCCACAGATTCTGGTAAGTTGTATCTGCATTTTCATTTTCTTGTAGGTGTTGTTTAATTTCTTATTTAATTTCTTCTGTGACCCACTGATTACTCAAGAGTGTGTTATTCAGTTTGCATGTTTTTGTGGGATTTTTGCAGTATCTTTTATCATTAATTTCTAATTTCAAAGTGCTATGATCTGATAACATGCAAGGGATGATTTCAACTCTTTTGCATTTGTTTAAATATGTTCTGTGAGCTAATATATGGTCTGTTTTAGAGAATGACCCATGTACTGCTGAGAAGAATGTGTATTCTGATATTGTTGTGTGGAACATTCTGTATATGTCTATCAAGTCCATTTGTTCACAGGTGTGGTTCAGTTATGTTATTTCTTTGTTCATTTTGTGTCTGGTTGATCTGTCCCTTGGTGTCAATGGCATGTTAAAGTCTCCTGTTACAATTGTGTTACTGATAATTTGAGTTTTCATTTCTGTTAATAGTTATTTTATATAACTGGGTGCTCTGGAGTTTGGTGCATATATATTTAAGATAGTTATCTCTTCCTCTTGGAGTTTTCCCCTAACGAGTATAATAGTGACCTTCTTTGTCCTTTACGATCATTGTGGGTTTAAAGTTCACATTGTCTGCAAACAGAATGGCTACTCCTGCTTTTTTTTGGATTCTGGTTGCGTGAAGTATTGTTTTCCATCCTTTGACTTTCAGTCTGTGAGTATCCTTCTGGGTTAGATGGGTTTCCTGTAAACAGCATATGGTTGGATTTTGTTTCTTGATCCATTCTGCTAGTCTGTTTCTTTTGATTGGTGCATTGAGACCATTTACATTAATGGTTATTACTGTTAAATGCTGGTTTATTGTTGACATGTTATCTCTCTGCTGTTGCATCTTTATCTTTCTGTTCTGTTTAATTATCTGCTTTGCTCAGTGTTTTTTTTTCCTTTGTGTATCTAAACTGTCTTTCAATATTTTTTGCAGGGTTGGTTTGGTGTTCATGAAGTTCTTCAGCTGTTCTTTGTCATGGAAGTATCGTATTTCATCATCAATTTTGAATGATAGTTTTGCAGGATACATCAATCTAGGTTGGAAATCATTTTGCTTTAGGATCCGGAATACTTCACTCCACGCTCTTCTTGACTTTGTTGTTTGTGCTGAGAAGTCTGCTGTGATTCTGATTGGTTTTCCTTTATAAGTGATCTGTCTTTTCTCTCTGACAGCTTTTAATAATCTATTCTTATGTTGGATTTCTGGGATGGTGATTATTCTATGTCTGGGTGTAATTTTATTTTGCTTATGACTATTTGGAGTTCTATATGCTTCACTGATCCTATGTCGGTCTCTGATCTCATGCTTGGGAAATTTTCAGCTATTACTTCTCTAAATATCCTCTTGACATCCTTTATGTTATCTCCTTCTTTTTCATTAATCCCTATCATTCTTATGTTATTCTTCTTTGCATCATCTTGCAGTTGTTGAATTGTTGTTTCCTGAATCCTTGTTATTTTTAAAATATCTTTCCTTTACTGTTCACTAGCTGCTATCCTGTCTTCAAGGTCTGAAATTCTATCTTCGCTTTCATTAAGGCGGTTTTTACAACTTTCAGTGGAGATTTTTATTTCCTGTATATCTCTGTGCATCTGCATTATGTATTCTGTTTGTTTCTTATATTGCTCGTCTAGGGATTCTATCTTTTTGTTTAGTTCCTCCAATTTTTTATCTGTGTTTTCTTTAGATATATTCAGAATCTCTTTCATTTCTTTTATCATTTCTTCTTTTATCTGGGAGATTATTTCAAGTTTGAATTTCTTTAAAGCTTCCTGGAGTTGCTTGGTAATTTCAGTAGCTATTGTGTCCAATATTTGAGCTGAATGGCATATATTTTCTTCTATATACATTGCTCCTAGGGTTTCTTGAGATGCGCTGGAGGTTTGAGGTTGTAATTTGATCTTTCGTTTTGTCATTTTCCTATGTTTCTGTGTTTCAAGTGTTATTTGAAAGCTTAATCAGGGTCTGTTGGAAATCCTCTTCTATGTTTGCAGCTCCTGAGACTCTGGCACCCAGTTACCCCAAGCCATTCGGCCTGCAGAACCAGTGGCCCTCCTCTGCCTGTTCAGAACTCTGCAGTTCTAGATAAGCTGGGCCTCAGGGACACTGTGCGCCCACCTGCCCTTTGGAAGCTCCACAGCTCTCCTAGCCCTGGGATGCTGCGGCGGATGTAGCGGCCTCAAACCCACCTCTCCACTTCACTGAACCCGGAAGCCTGGAGGGTCCCAAACAGTCTGAGCTTTGGGCAGAGTGCGCTGAGCACTCACCACAGGCCGTGCTGCCTCTGGAACCTGCGATCCTCCCCTGCTTGCTGAGATAACCACAGTCCTCCAGACACATGGGGAGGCTGATGCAGTTGCCCCAGATCAGCCCAGCCCCTCCTCTGCACACCGATGGTGGGGTGCTGGCGGAATATTGTTTTCCATACCTTGACTTTCAGCCTGAGTTTCCTTTCAAGTCAGATGTGTTTCTTATACACAGCATATTGTTAGATTCTGTTTATTGACCCAGTCTGTCAATCCATTTCTTTTAATTGGTGAATTGAGGCTACTTACGATGATGGAAATAAATGATATGTACTGGCTTAGTTTTCTCATGGTATTTTCTTATTGTTGGTTCACTGCTTTTCCCCTCTGTTTAATTGCTTGCCCTACCTGGTGTTTCTTTCTGTTGTAGGCATTTTTGCCTCTTTCTAGTGTGTTTTTGAAGACTCTTTGTTGGGTTGGTTTGGTAGACATGAATTTCTTCAGTTGTTGTTTGTTATGGAAGTATGTTATTTCTCCATTAATTTGCAAAGAAAAGTTTTCAAGGTACATCAATCTGCGCTGAAAGTTTTTTTTTTTTTTTCAGGGCTTGAAATACTTCACTCTTGATGATTTGTGTTACGAAGTCAGCTGTGAATTTAATGGGATTTACTTGATAGGTGAGCTGTTCTTTTCTGTAACAGTTTTAGTATTTTGTTTTATGCCAAATTTTTGGCATCTTGATTATCATGTATGTGAGTGTGATTTCTTTTTGTTACAGCAGTTTGGAATTCTATATGTATCACATCTGTATATTAAAGACTTTTCCTATGCTTGGGAAATTTTCTGCCATTACTTCTGCAAATAGTTTTTTTATGACTCCTGAATTTTCTTTGACACTTGTCAGTCTTACATTGTTTTTCTTTGCATTGTATTGATGCCGTTAGGTCACTGTTTCATGATTTCTTGGTATTTTAAAAAGTTCTTTCCATTTGTGATCACTAGCTGCAACCCTGTTCAAGGTTTGAAACTCTACCTTCAGTTTCATTCAATTGGTTTTGCCAGGTTTCAGTGGAAATTTTAATTTCCCAAATAGCTCTTTGAATTTGTTTCATGCATTGTGGCTTTTTTCCCCAATATTCATTCAATATTTCCATCATTTCTCCATTCTCCTGCAGTTTTTTTTTAATCTGTGCCTTCCTTTCTTTTAACTCTGTCTTTAAGGTTGTCATTTCTTTCTTCATCTGAGAGATTATTTCTAATCTGATATCCTACATAGCCTCATAAATTTCTTTTTTTTATTACTTGCTATCTTTTCTGAAATTTCAGGTATATAACTTTCTGTGTCCTCTATTTTGATGTCTCCTGTACTTGTTCCTAATGGACTAGGTGTTTTTCATTTTGTCATTTTTCACCTTTTGGGCTAATATTTTGATGTTTTTAACCCTGCTAGTCTTAACTGTCCACCATGTGTATCTTAGCGTCCTATTATGTGGCTGACGTTTATCCAGTTGCTGGGTTCTACAATGTAGGGGAGGGGCAAGTAACCTGAATTCTTCCTGCAGAGCCTTTTGGGTGAATCCTGTATTCTTCTTAGGCTAACTAGCCTAGGAGTATCCATGTAAGGCAATCCTTAACTGCTATTATTACTGCAGCTTCAGGCTGTTACAAGCCACCAGATCCACTTGTCTGTCATGTGTGCCTCAGCTGGGGCTTCACCAAGCTGGGGGTCTTGTAGGCCCTTTCAGGTTCTCCAGTTGGGGAAAAGCCTAGTCAGCACTCTTACCCATCCACCCAGGATTCTGTATGGAAGGATTCATCCACATTCTTGCTAGCATGAAAAGGTTCTACAGCTGGGGGGGAGGGTTTGTTAAGGCTCCAGTTGACTCACTGAGGCCCTTTACTTGAGGGGGAAACTCACCACACTGTCCTTGGGCCACTGAGGTCCTCTGTGTAGAGGGACGCCTTGCTGAGGCTACCACCAGCCCACCCAGGTACTTCAGGTGGTGGAAGGGGTTGCTGACAGTCCATTGGCTGCTGAGGTCATCCAGGTGCACAGAAATGGTGGCTGATGATCCTGTCAGCTGCTGAGGTCTTTCAGGTGTGGGGAAAAGACTGCCAAGGCTTCATGCAGCTGTAGAGGTCATCCAGGTGTGAGGGAAGGGCATTCAACAATCCTATCAGCTTCCGAGGTCTTTAAGGTGCTGGAGAAGAGCAGCCAAGGCTCCCCTCGGCTGCCAAGGTCATCCAGGTGCAGGAGGAAAGGGCAGCCAAAGATCCCATGGGTTGTTGAAGCCCTTCAGGCGCAGGCAGAGGGTAAACCAAGCTCCCACAGCTGGTGAGGTTATCCAGATGTGGGGGAAGGGCAACTGAATTCTGGGAAAACTTTTAAATAATACTGCAAATTACATTATATTGTATACTAGGTAAACATCACAATTAACAAAGTTCTGACAACATGGAGCATTCATGAGATTGCTTCAAAATTCCTGTAAGTGAATTATATACAGTATTTGTCCTTATTATCTTCGGAAACTTTCTATCAGCTTTTAAGTTAACTTCAAGATATGCATTTCCAAGACAGTGTTTTGAGGACCCATTTAAGGAGTCATTATTAATAACACAGCACTTTAAAAAATTTCTGCTCTAACTTATAAGATAAAATATAAGTATATTCTGGATCATCTGAAGACCATCTGAAGCCTATGCACTATGTTGGAAATTCAGTATTTAGTTTGTATCCTGAAAAATGCTATAACAAGGAAGAGTTTTTAGTTATAGCACATTAGTAAAGATCTGTATGTAACTAATTAACTTCGTCATTTGAAGTCCAAACATAATTGTCAATATACTGATGGATAAATTGAAAAGTGTTAAGATAAAAATCATTCTTAGCAAATTAAGATATCACACAGCCATGTTAAACTAAAAGTAGTCTTTCCTTTAAAAGAATCAGTACAGTTTTCTCTTGAAAAGTAATTTAATATTGTTAATATTAATTTTGTTTTGTATTTTGGTAATATGAAATATGAGGTAAAAACAAAATTATACTTAATGTGTGTATGCTCATCACACACATGACATAGATCTAACTTTAATTTCTTTTTCTTTTTGAGACAGGGTCTCACTATGTAGTTAATTCTGGCCTTGAACTTACAAAAATCCTCTTGATTCAGCCTCCCAAATGCTGGAACCATAAGCATGTTGCCATCACATCTGGCCCAACTTTAATGTCACATACATATAATAAGTTAATATAATCTCTCACATTTAGTTAAAATTTTAAAGTCACAAAATTAAGCAAGCATTTGTTCAAAAATATAATGATTCTTTGTAATTTTATTAGCTTAATCAGCAAATTTTAAATGAGGGTCTACTATCATTTTTATTTGACTCAAATAAATTGACTTGAATTATTTTAATATTTTGAAATTGAGGTACATTGTCTAATCCATGTTAAATTTGCAGCCACATTGCCAAAACTTTGGTAGAGTTGCTATGTAGTCCTCATTGCATGAAGACAGTTACGTGTAGTGCATACTTATTTCTGAATTCAGTTACATAATTTGCAAATTGGTAACCAAAAAGAAGATTGAAGTTTAATTTAATTTCAAAATTCAATTGCATCTAAAAATTCATAATAATTATTACATCTGGATGGAACATTGTAATGAAAAGGATTGGGTGTAGGGGAGCATAAAACACATTTGCAAGATGCAAAGTTATGATTAATGGAGTAAATGCTTGTTACTGGAACATTATAAGTTTTTAAAGCATCAACCAAGTAATTTATAGTATTTAGTTAGAAAACAAATACACAGTAAGATAAACCTGAGTCTTGTTTTGTCATAGAGATATTTGAAAAATGATTTCTGGTAACACTTCAGGCAATGCAATAAAAGAGTGAAGAAACTGCCAAATCTCTTGGAACAGATCAGATAGTATTCAAAGCTAGGATGGTTGGTGTGATAATTCATACATCATGAAAATCTATCCCTTAGATGCTGAGCATCTAACTTTCAAAGGCTTCCAGCTGACTGAAACTGTTGGCTTCCAGGGATACATAAGTCTCATAAGGGGAAAAGGAAACTGAACTTAAGTACGAATGTAATGTAGATAAAATCTTGATATTGTTTGATGTGTCAAACATTATACAGTGAATCTTAAATGTGCTAAAACAGCTAGGATCATAAGCATAGAGTATAAAAAGCAATATTTCTCGTATGAAACTATATATACATGAAAGTGATCCAGAGAAATTTTTAGCTCTGAAGTATTGAGAACATTCCTATATTTACCAGGAGAAAAAAAATCTGTGTAACATAGACAATGTGGAAAAAGCCTGTATATTAGAAATTACTTTTGCCCCCCAAAAGCAGTAATGTCAACCATGGAATGGTAATTCCAACAATGACAGAGGAAGCTAGAGAAGAGTTAGAGAGAGGTTGATAGGGAGATGCTCAAAGAAAGGAGTGAAATGAACTAGCAGTCTCCAATACTTTGAAGTCCAATTGAGGAAGAGCCATCAAAAAAGAGGCCTAAATACATAGGCAGAGAGAAGAGAGAAAATTCTACAGAATACTGTGCCAAGGAATGGAAACAAAGGTAGTATTTCAAGAAGTTGGAAGTGATCAAATCTGAAAAGTGCTGCTGCTGAAATGCAAAACAGGAGAGATTTGAAATATGTCCATTGAATTAGTTGCAGGGGGTTAACTGAAGTAGAAGGAAAGCAGTTTTTCATGTAATAGTGAGACAGGTTACACTGGTCAGGGACGTTAATGGCAAAAAATATGGAGACTAAACTTATTTTGTCTTTTTGAGACAGGGTGTTCCTATGCAGTTCAGGCTGTCCTTGAGCTCACTGTGTAGCCCAGGTTGGTCTTGAACTTGCAATGATGCTCCGGCCTCAGCTTCCTGAGTGCTGGGATTACAGGCATGTACCACCATTCCTGGAAATTTTTGACAAGTCTATGCAAACAATATAGGCAGGCATCCTTGGTGGTGAGATGTTTTTTTAAATGACTGCTTTAGACTAATTCAGAGACAAAGTTATAGGGTAATAGAGCAATTCATTGTAGTTTAAGCTGTAAACTATGACTTAGTGTATTATGACACTAATTTAGTGAGTTGTTAACAGCATTAATAAAAATGAAAAAATAGCATGCACTATGCATAGTAAAGTAAGGGTGCATTACAAATTTTTTTGTTTTGATTGTTTGTATTAATTATTGACTTCAAACAGTAAGAAATATACCTTGTATATTTATGCTTGGTACTTAAATATAGTGTATATATATTACATATAATATACATGTATTATATGTATATATTGGGTTGAAATGTT